AAACTACAGGCTACTCAGCCTAACTCTTGACTCCAGAAAGACTGTGCAGCAAATCCTTCAGAAAGTCATATCCAGACACACGTGATAAGGTGACTGGGACACATAAGCCACATAAGCCACACTGGATTTGCTACAGATGCCTTGTGCCTGACCAACATGACGGCCTTCTATCGAGAAATGACTGGCTGTGTGGCAAGGGGAGAGCAGGAGATTTTCTTCACTTCCATAAAGTAAAATCATTAATAAGTCAGGCTTTTGACACAGGCTCTCATTGCCTTTGAGCAAACTGGAGAGATGTGGTTTGGATAGGTGATTTACTGGGTTGATGGAAAACTGGCTGGACTATGGGATTCTAAATACTGGGATCGTCAGTATTAAGATCAAGTGCTAGTTGGTCACCCTTGAAGCTTCTCATATTGACACTAAGGTGAATATTCTTAATATCCTCATTAATGACTAACCACACTTAATGACCTAATCACCATATCAAAGTTATCAAATTGATGGGCAATGCCAAAATATACTCAGTGGTGGCATACTGGATTCAGAGGAACCTCATCGGGTGGGAAAGGCAGGCCAACACCTATCTCAGGAACTTCAATTAAAGCAACATCCTACATCTGCACACAGAATAAACTCATACAACAGCACAGACAGAGGGCTGACTGAATAGAAATGAAATTTGCAGAAAAGGATCTGAGGTCCTTTTAGATACTTTCTAACAAGTTTAACAGGAGTCATCAGCAGATCTTTTTTGCAACAAGGAAGACAAACTGCCCTCTGCCCTATATCAGCAAGAGTGTATCTCTCAGGCAGGTGACTACCTCTCATACTCTCCTCTATTTGGCTCTGGAGAATGACTGACCAATTTAAGGATCAATACAAAGCTCTATCATACTGGATAATGCCCAGTGGAGGGCCACTACAATGATTAAAGCTGTGTTTGTTCAATCTCAAGCAGAGAAGGCCAGAGGGAAGGATCACAGTGCTATCTTCAGCCACCTAATGAAGCTCACAGAAAAGAGAAACCTGGACTGTTCTTTAGTGTACAGAGCAAAAGGATAAGGGGCAGTAAATGGAGAAGTTATGACAAAGAAAATTCCAATGTAACATTAAGAAAATTTTCACACTAAGAGTCAACCATTAAGAAGGGCCCAGAAAAGACAGAATTTCAGTCCTTACAGGTATTTGAAATGCTGGAACATGGACATGACTTGGAGAAGCTGGATCTAATTTTGCTGGTTGACCCTGTCTTGGGATGGGGGCTGAACCAGATAACCTCCAGACCTCCCACTGAGCCTAAATTCCTCTGATTCTACCATTGCAGAAAGTCAGTTTGGTACTCAAAAATTCATGGAGCCGTCTCCAGTGCAGATTAATCTGCCCAGAAGGTGTCCAAGTAACCAATTCTCCCTCTCTCCCCAAAGCATTCCTTCATGCACACTCATATTTTGGGTGAAAAAGGACTCTGCACATAAAAAACCAATTAAAATAAATGCAAATACTGTGAAAGGTGGCTTAAAAGGAATTTAGGTTTTTTCTTCATAGTCCTAAACAGCATCAGCTGCAAGGCACAATGTTTGTGCTACCAAAAAAAAGCCCAGAGCTACACTTGTTACTTAAGCTTAACTCAGAAGTCTGTCACTTAGATTGTCTTTTTCTCCTTAGCAAGATCACTGTTAAACACTTAACAAACATTAGATAAGAATAGCAAACACAATTGTTTTTTAAGGGCTACCTGGAATGCCCAAATGCTATTTTAATTTGTTTTCACCCAAATGTACCTACACTACTCATTATGTGATGGTTTTCCTAAGTGCTTCATTGAAACCAGACCTAGAGCATGAATGAAACCTAAGCTGTACTTGCTGCATTTCTGAAAGTGAGCAGTAAAGAAAACCATTGATAGGGCAGCAAAACAGAATAAATAATTCTCAAATTTTGATTTGGTATTTCTGTTTCAAGTCCTGTCAAATGTACTGCAAGACCACAGACTGAAGGTGAGCCTGACATCTTGAAAATAATACTGATCATTTTATACTTTAAAGATAAAAAACTTAAGAGACGGAAAATTAAACACTTGAAAAATATGAGCAGGAGAGGAAATCTTGGGAACATCTTCCACTTGCTGCAAACAGATTAATTTCAATGAAAACTGGATCAAGACGTGTACTAAAAGACCAATTCAAGTGCTAAACTGATTCTGGAATAGTAATTTATTCCAAAAAATTCAACCACCTCAACGATTTATAAGCCCTGAAAACATATACAGATAAAAAAAGAATAAGATACATTTTTGGGAACTGCAGGAGAGAATTGTTTAAGACAGATAGAGGTAGCCAGTGCTCAAGAAATGGTTTGTTTTGTAATAATGGTAGAAGCTTCTTACTGTGGGCAAAACTCCCTTGTGCTATAAAGCTTAATAGGTTTTATTTAACCCTACAGTTACTAATTATTACTGGATTGCTAGGACAGAAATTCATTGCCTTGTAAACGAATCTATATTTTAAATTAACAGACAAGTACTTACATAGCCAAGGTCAGCACATTAGACTTTCTGACCTAAAAGGTCCCAAAATAGCAGAATAACTAAGTAAAAAGGTGTCACAGTAAACCAAGATGAAAAGCTCCTGCAGTTTTTAGGAACTCTGTCACATCATCAGGTTCTCCTGCCCCATGAATGGGATGGTGAGCACAGGAAGCACCTGATGCTCCCCTCCTCCTCCTCCTCCTCCTGAGGGTGCTCCCTTCCCAGACACCTGCAGTAGCAAAGGAAAGCTGCTGTTTTTCCAGTCAGTGGTTCATGGAATGAGGAGATTTTGATATGATCCACAAGGTTTATAAGAGCTATTACTAGTTTTGGCAGCGCTCCACACAGTGGGGCAGTTTGTGTCTTTGACTAAAGAAATCACACTGGCTGGGGCATCACAGCAAGAAGGGCAAAATTCAGAGATCCATGGCAGTGTAAGAACTAATTCAAATATCACAATTCAAAAATCACAATAGTGGCAAAGTCCTGGGTTATTGCAACAGTGATTTTTTGGTACCGATAACATGTAAGACTGAAAAAAATTAAGCCTATCGAAGCAAAAAGGATTAGGTGAGAGCAGGACAAGGAGCTGAAGGAAGATTTTGTCAAGAATATAAAAAGCTTATTTAACTCCCATGGTGGTTTCCCTGTCACAGTATTCTCATCAACATTTTGTATCACTGAAATTTTCCTAAAATTAATTCATCAAATTGAGTTGGAGGTGGACATTACACACTAGAGAGGCCTGAGGAGCTGTCAGATGTGCCAGCTAGGAACCAGAGCACGCCCTCCTTGAACCCAGCAGCCAGTGTTAGAAATTAGGCCAATTATCTGTTCTAGTGATTTTTCTTTGAAAAAAAAAATTCTAGTCATAAAAGCATTACCTAGTCTGTAATGTATTAAAATTAGAACTTTGAAAATGGTAGTAGATGTGCTTATAGAACTGGAGGGATACAAAAGAAAACATCAGTGAACTTTCAAAAACCAAGAAGTTTAACTTTCTTTTGCTGCAGTTACCAAGTATTTGTCCACAAGAATACTAGAGAAAGTTCAACTATCTTGTGAAGATTTCCTGTGGAAAATCTGGAAATTAGGTCTAAATACAGGATTTCACCCTATATTTACATGAAGATTTCAATGCATTCTCAATTACCAGTTTGCGACCAATGGTCCTGCAACACCATCAACCTTCTTAAGGTTCAGAACTCTTCATAAAAATTTATGAAATTATTTTCACAAGATCACACCAAGGAGGTTTAAAACCATATTAGCATACAAGTACAACAACAAGGGCAAAACCATGTCACAGAACTATTAAAACTACAGCAAATATGGACAGTTAAGCTTATTAATACCTAAAGATTGCAAATAAATGTGCATTAATTCACAGTACAACATTACATACAACATAATATATTCAACCCTGCTACATCAGCAGTGAAGAGAAAGATTACAACAGGAGAGCTGACAACTGCATTTCTCTAAATTCACATAGTCCTCAATTTTTCCTGTACAATACACATGCATTTTTCTAGATAAATGGGTTATGAAAAATTCAATACATGTATGATTGTGGAAGACAAATTAAAATATTGGAAATATTTTAAAAGCTGAAAATCCATCAATTATTCATTCCATAAATAAACATTTTATCCATTTATTTCTTTTGTTCAGTTATTTTTGTAGATTATAACTCCTTTTTACTGAGCATTTGCAGATATTACAGCTACAGAAATATGTATTTAATCCTATCTTTGTATTTTACAGCTTGAAGAAACAATGTTCAAAATTGTGGTCTGCTAAGACTATGTATTTTTAATCTCTGTATTACATTAGCTTTTACTACAGCATAATTATTTTTAGATTTGAATCGCTCTTCACTAATTGTACCCAGTTGCACAAAGCCATTCAAACTGAAAATTTAACATTTTAACTCATTTAACTTTTATAATTCATAGTACATTTTTCCTGAATGTGCCAAGATTCAGTAAATGTTCCTCTTTACAAAAGGAACAGTCTTCCTCAAACTGTCAAAATCCAGAAGGTAGCCCTGAAAATTCTTTACCAATTCACATAATTGTAAAAATATTTACATCTGGTGTTCAATTATTTTTACACCTAAGGTAAGTTTTTAAGATAAATTAGTTCAATGGGCACCTTAGTTCAGTTTGTACTGTCAATATCTAGTGGGTAACACATAAACACAACACACTGTATTCATAAAAATAAATGTCAGTTTTAAAAGTGACACAAGTTAGAATTGTTAGGAAACTCTACTGCCAGAGGTACAGCTAAAAAATAGTTAACTAAAAGGTCAATACTGAAATATTCATAAATAAAAAGCATTTATTTCCAGTTTTCATGGCAGTCATCACACATTCCGTATTTAGGACAGCAATCTAGAAATTTAGGCTTTATGATGTGAAAATGACATTTCTCAGTTTATGCAAATTAATTTCAACTTTGTTACCTTATTAACTTCCATGATTTCCCTTCTCTCTTCAGTAGCAAAACGAAGCTGACTTGCAGCACCACGATCATCATGCTTGGAGCCATCTTCTTCAACATATGGAATAAGTTGCTGTGAAGACAAGAAACATCAGCTTTAGTTAAAAAAAAAAAAAAAGAAAAGAAAACAGAAAAAAAAAGGGAAAAAAAGAAAAGATAAGAAGAAAAAAACTCAAATACTCAAATCCGGGAAATACATATGGTACTACCATTTTCTCCACAGGTTCTAACCACCCAAGAGAAAGTGAAGACAAGCCTGCTTGCCACCTCAAACCTTAAGGCCTTGCAATGACCTCAGCTGGTTCTCCAGGTAACAATGTGCTTCAGTTGTGTACAATCTCACACATTACCAAGCCTTGACCAAAGAAATTTAGTAACTGCAGGCAGAAGCCAGTCTTTCCATTTTAAGATGTTTGTCATAGATAATCCTTGTAGCTGAATTCTGCAGATTGAGGTTTTAAAATTTTCTATTCCACACTAAGAAATAAAACCACAAACACAAAGTTCTCATTATCATAAGTCATTTTAGTGATATACTGAACATAGATATGACTGGCTTTACAAAGCTACTTGGCTAATACTCTAGTTATGATTTGCTGTTTTAATGAGCCTCTCTTTGGCTACTCTTAAGACCAGGCCCACAGTTACCTAAAATGAGTTTTCCTGTAAGTATTTCTCACCATGGTGTCCTCAGATACACAGAAGCACAGTTTGGTTTAGGCTGGAGAAGAACAAAGTGCACTGTCTTTTTTGTAAAGCTTGGACAAAGCCAAAATTCCTTGATGTAAAATTTCTAAATGAATACTACTCTATGCTTCCTTACTAAAAAACAGATCAAAAAGAAATATACTACATACAAAACAAATACTTGTTTCTGTGTCAGAACACTCCCAAGCTTCTAACAATTTCTTAAAGGACAATACCTCCACAAAGTCCATAGTCTGACATTGTTTTTTCTGTCCTGTACTATGCAAAAGTACATCCATGTTCACAAACATATTACAGACAAATGGAAGACTGATATTGATAAAAGTGAGCAAGAAGACATTATTTTAAAAGCCTGGGAGCAAGTTGCTCATCAAATGCATATTAACTTCTTACTTAGGTTGGGGTGCGATATTACAAAGTGTTCACTGCCTCCAGCCTCTGATGGAAAACTTACTTTGATTTACACCAATAAAAATGTAATTTCCTTCTATACAAAAATGTTTGCAGCCATTCTTATTAAGCTTAGCAAAATGGACAAAAGCTACCACACAAAACAATGCCATGAAAAAATGGCAAATGTTCACCACTTACTACATTTGCAGACCACAAAGAAGAAGTAGCAGGGCTGCTATATGCTCTTGGAAAGAACTCTCTGATGGAAAAATAAAGTAGCACTCAAAGAAGAACATTTCTTTAAAGCCTCCCTATCCTTCAGAAAAGATGATAGATAAAAAAAAACTAAACAAAAAACAAACCTACCAAGAAAAGCTGAACTATACCTAATACACAAAAAAAGCAGGAAATTTAATCTTTGTAGGCAGATCTCCTTCAGAATTATCTCATGCCTTGCTATGTTGGTTAATCAGTACACATTACCAAAAATTATGAAAACATTTATATCAATATAAATGGAATAAGCAATACTAGTACGCATAGACTTCTCTTGACTCTGCAAAAAAAAATATAGTTTTGTTGATATTCTATAAAGACATGGTTAGAATATCAGTCACCAAATAATACAATTGAGACTATTTTTGAACTACAGGAAGAAGAATTTAAGAAAACTGATCCAGGAGGAATGGAGTGTCACTGTCATTCACTCTAACCAATAAAAACATGAGGAGGCAGGCATCTACTAAGTTCAGAGAAGAAGAGACTAACAAGATTGAAAAAAAAACCCCAACTATCAATAAAACATTCTGCTGTGACTAAGTTATCAGTGAAACCCTGCATTTAAAATGCCTGAAGTGACTACTTATTTTCTCTATGGAGACTCTTTTCCATCCTGATAATGGGAAAAAAATGTGAAAAGTTATTGAAAAAAACAAATCAAATGCCACATCATTCTATTGTTATAAGGGAAAATAAGACACATGAAAAGCTTTTAAAGAGGACACAAGTTCAACACACTGTGAAAACATGATTTATTTTCTTAAATGGGAAAATTAACTTATTCCCGTGCTTGCTGTCAGGTTTAGAGATTCATTTTTCTGAAACCCTTGTCAAAAGTCAGCAACTGTAAACTGAAACAGCAGTCTAGAATGGACTGCACAGAATGGACTTCATTTCTTTACTCCTATTCAGTTAAGAGACTCATACTTCAAATATAATGCCTGTATGATTAAAATTCAATGGACAATCAAAAGTCCATTAATAAAGTTGCCTCAGAATCCAGAGGTCAGCAATTAAAGTGCAGAGGGGAGCGTATGTGGCCCGAAGTTTGGAGTCCGGCTAGCTGAGGGCGAAAGGCCGACGCCCCTCTGCAATTCTTGGCCAGCACTCTTCGGCGTCTGATGGCCTCGGGCTGCGCTGGCTGCGGACTGGCTTACACTGCTGGTATTGGGGAGGAACGGAGCTGACCATTTCCCGGGGGTCAAACATCGGTTTATTGAAGGTGTTGCGGGATCTAAACGCGGGGAAACCAACCGGGAAAAAGTTTCTCCATAGGGGGTGAAACAGGATTATAAAGGAGGGGGGTAGGTACAGGCGGAACCAATCGGGAAAGGTGAGGGGATGAACTTCACAGAACTGACACTCCATGGAGACCAATAATCAAAAGGTAAAGGAGGTGTCCTGGGACCCCAGCCAGCCACCATCTCCAGAGAGAAGAAGGTTCTCGAAACCTGGGAGGAGAAAGGGGGTGATTGACTGGGCCCAGGGAGGAAACAACTTTCACTTATAAGGGAAACCAGGGGAGGAGCAATTACATATCGGCAACTATGAATAGCGGTTACTATAGCAACTTAGCTGACAGGCTAGCAGTGGCGGGAAATACTGGGGGAACGAAACCATTTTACACATAATAGGGGAGAACAATACATAAATTGGGGGAATAACACAACAAACTTAACAACACACTACAACATTAAAGAATTTCAAAGTTCTGGTTAATATAGAGCAGAAACAACTCAAATTGTAACAAAACCCAGGGTTTACAAGTATTACTAGAAATTAGAAACAACTTATGAGGAAGATGGGATTTAAGATTTTATGAATGACAGCAGTGTTATTAAGAAAAACTCTGATAAATCCTCCTTCCTGGAAGTTTTATGTTGTAACTTTTCTACAACCACTGCACATTTAAGTTTGGTTCACACTGCCCAGCAGGTTAGGAATGGCTGAGTGAGGGAACTATGGAGGCAGAGATTATTGGCTAGAGAAAGTAAATAATACTTATTTCTCAGGAGCCAGGCTGACAGGTGAGAGCTTGAAGCAGGCTTTTTACCACTTTTTTCCACTTGTAAAAAATTTGCCCTGATCCTCTTTTTTTCCCTAAGGGAAACAAATTGGTGGAAGTACCAAGAAGCCAGAGGGGAAAAAAAGTTAAAATTTTAAATTAAGTCTGCTTTCTTAGAATCACAGAATCAATTAGGCTGGAAAAGACCTCTGAGATCAAGTCCAACTTATGACAGAACACCATGTCAACTAGACACTAAGTTTCACACTCTTTCAACAAGCTCTAATTAATAAAAAAAATTCAGTCCACCGAATAATTCCAGTATCATTGAAACCTGTTACGAGTCTCCTGCAACTGAGGAAGATGGATGATTTGCTATCCAGAGTGGTTATTTATAGTGGATTTACAATTCACATGTAAATAAAGATACTTACTTCTATGGGAACAGGATCGAGCCCAGCACAGTTTTCATTACATTTGTCATAGACTAATCTCAGTTTTCTGAAGAGTATTGATAGCTGGCGGAGATGTTCCTGCAGCTTTGCCAGTCTGTCTTGATATGTTGCAGTATGATAAGTAACACCATTTGGTAACTTAGAGAACCAAAACATTAAAAAATTAAAGTTTATGTCACATGAAATGAATAAAGACATCAGATAGATTTTTGTATATTTTAGAATAAGATAATCACACTTTTCTTATAGCAATCACTGAAATTTTTATTTTCTTTAGTAGCAAAATTACATATTTAATGTGCTCAATCACTGCTGTCAAACACCCTCATGTATTCTACACTTTTGGTCATCATCAATCCCCTGACTTTTCAGTGAGTGTCTTCACAATGCTTAAATATGACACCATTGTGACTGGGGTTGAGATTTTGTGTCTCAACCCCAGGTCATTCAATTCAGTGACACAAGAGTTATGAAAATACAGAAGGAATGGGAATGATTATTTATCTTGTACTCTTCACAGAGAAAACACAACAGAAATTTGTACGTTTTCTCAGTAAGTAGACACAAATAAGGATTATGTTGTTTTTCCTAACAAAAAAAAAAAGTTTTAGGTGAAAAATATTACAGAAAAAGATCAATGAAAATTCCTCTAAATTTACTCCCCGTATGTTAACATAAGCAGAGAAACATAACTGACATATGAACAGACTTCATTGTACATAAAAAAAAAACAGTTACAAGCATATTGAGAGGTTTTTTTATTGGGAGGGCAATGACAATTCAGCATTTCTGAATTTCACTTAATGTACAAGACTAAACAAATATATTAAGAGTAGCACTCACTTCTTGAACCAATTCTCTTTTTCAGAGCAGTTTGACTGAGTTTTCTAAACGTCCTAAGGTGTCTCCTGAGTCTACACATACTGTGTGTCAGTGATAACATGGAAGTAGAGTGTATGAATAATTGTTTCTCACCTGCATGTTCCTCAGTAGCTGGAAGATTTCCATGGTTCGGAAGACGATGTCCTGCACGGTCTCCTGGCCGATGCGGCAGAGCGAAGCCGTGTTCACCTCGCGGGCAGCCTGAGCCTGCGTCCCGGAGAAGGCGCCCGGCGGCATCCCTGCCCCGGCCAGGGGGGGAGTGGACATCTCCCGCCTCGACCCGTCACACCAGGGCAAGCTGCACAAGAGGTGATGATGGAACGATCATCTTGACTCTATCCCAGCAAACTTTTGTAGGGTGGCAATCCCACTTCTTCTCCCCGTACGCGGTTTTGTCCATCAGCTGAGGCCGGCTCAGGGCAGCACCCCTTGGACACGGCTCCCTGAGGCACCGCAGCTTTGCCAGGCGCTGGAACTGGGGGTGCGCCTCACGCACCTCCCTCCCCTCAGAGCGGTCAGTGCGCTGCCCCTGCCCCGACCCGTCCCAAGGGGAACACGACAGAGGTTTTTGCTCAGCTCCAGCAGACAGAACCGCAGCCCTGGGCTCCGGTACCCTACCGACCAGCCCTCCCTCCGCTGACCCACCGGCTCCCGGGGCGAAGCGGTGCCCCGGCCTCGCAGCGTTCCCCGGCCCCGCTCCACCCTGCAGCCGCCGCGGACGCGCCGGTGCCACCGCACTCCCGGTCCCGCCGCACTCGGGCCGTGCCCCGGATCTGCCGGCGGAAGCGCTTCCCGGCGCCCGGCACCGTCACAGCCGGCGGGCGGCAGCAGCAGGCGGGGCCGGGGCCGGCTTGGGACCGCCCCTGTACCGCTGCTCTCCCTCGAATATCTCGCTTGGGAGCCTGGGCGTTTTCCTGGTTTGCCCAATCCAGTGCGGGTTTGCGGGCAGGTCAGCCGGCATGCGGGCTCTTGAGGTTGAAAAGTTTGGGCAGAATCCCCAGGCAGATTCACACATTCCCACCACCCCTCAGATCATAGAACAGTTTGGGTTGGAAGTGACTTAAAGATCATTTAATACCAAACCCCTGCCAGGGGCAGGGGCGCCTTCCCCCATCCCGGGTTGCTCAGAGCTCCGTCCGCCCTGGCCTTGAACGCTGACAGGAGCGGGGCAGCCCCGGCTTCTCGGGCACCCTGCTCAGTGTACCGCCACCCTCGCAGCTAAGGATTCCTTCCTAACACCTAAACCTACTGTTTTTTCGGTCTGAAGCCATTTACCCTTTCTTGTCACTGCAGTTCAGGATGAAGAGTCCCTCTCCACCTTCCCTGCAGGCCCTTTCACATACTGGAAGGCTGCTATGAGGTCTCCTCCAGGCTGAACAGCCCCTACTCTCAGCCTGTCTTTGTAGGAAAGATGCTCTAGTCCCAGTCACACTGATAAATGGATGAATATAGGATGGGTATGTACTGCCAGTATACACTTTAAAACCTGTGCTAATTTTATAGCTTTATGGGTGCACTGCTGTTCCTTCCTGCATAGATACATTATTGCTAATACAGAAAAGCCTCAACGCTTGGCCTTTCTGAGTCACAGTATTTGCATGGATATAAACCAGCTCTGAGTGCTTGTACCACACTAGTACAATTGAGGCATTTTTGAAGCTCAGACAAGGCCTCCTATGTGAGGGAGAGGGAGCACCCTCAAAAAGAAGCCAGACAGGTTCTGTGAGGCTTGACAGGAATGAGCTGTTTCTAGAATAGCTAATGCTAACTGTCTGCCTAACAAAAACAATTCTTCATATGCAAAAATCAGTAATTACCAGAGTTTCACTGTCTTTTCTAATTGGCATCATATCTAGGATTCTGTATTTGAGTGATTGTGGCAGTAAGTATCTAAATATGCAGAAGAGAACATTTATGTACCTGCAACTTCTAATGAATTCTTAGCACAGTAAAGGTAGTTGTGCTGTATTAAAACTGTTCTTACAAATGATTTTTTGTGTGAAATGTTTTACATTTGTAATGCTGTAAAAATAAATCAAAATTTTGATGCATGGTACACAGACTTTGTTAAAGAAAGAAGGAAGCAGTCAATGAACATTCAGGAACAGAACCATATAAACTTGCTGTCAGAGGCATTTTGCTTCATAAAACATTTTTTACTTCAGAAACAGACTACTGAGGAGAAAGGGCACCCCCTTTCCTAAACTGGAGCTTTTTGCTGCCTGGCTAAGTTCTCGCTAGTACTCTGCCTTACTCAAGCTGCAATATAAACAACTATATTTTAGCGAAGATCTTAGCATAAAGGATACAAATAGTTACTTAAGCAGAGTGGGAAAATGGTTTATAGAAATAAGAGGAGGATATTTTCAGAAAGCAAAAGAACATCCCATGGTGTCTAGCTAGACAATGCTTGGGAAGAGCAGCCTCTGGAGAACTTCAAAGGGCTTGTTTGAAGGTTTGCTTCTCATTTCACTGTTCACTAAGAAAATGAGGCAAGAACTGTTCAAGTGTTGAGCACAAAGGATATGGTTTTCATCTTCTGAATGCATGCCCAAGAGCTCTGCTCACAATGCTGAACCTGCTGCCTCAAATCCGATGGCAGAAGAGTAATGAGGGATTCAGACCACCTACTGTTCAGAGCTGCTGACAGACTCCATACAGAGTGGGACATTGCAGTATAGGACTGCCATGTACAGTACAACTGAAATATAGAGCCAAGTCTGCAGGTGGATAGTGCTGGAGAATGTTGCTGGGAGGCCTAATATTCTTTATTGCCACTCTCTGGAACCATCTGAGTCTAGGATTTCATTCCCAGACAAAGGAATCTTCTTTTAGATAAGAATGTTTTTCTGGTCGAAAGAGATAAGGATGAATTTGCTTTTAAAAGCAATCTATTAAGCAACCACTCTCTGTGTTCAGTTTGGGCCAAGTGCTTTCATCTGGAAGGTGTCCAAATCAGAGATCATCTTTTATATCCATTTCAGTTTCTGTGGCATCAGTTCAAACCAGTGTCTTAGGATTCTGCTGCCTTTGTTGTTGGCTTGTGGGGAAGCTACCAGAAACCTAACAAAGAGCCTATGTCTGTGTGTAATACTCTAGTCAAATCAACTTTAACCCAAATTTGAAATTTGAAGGACTCTTTAAAGAGTAACTACTTCAGTGATTATAATTTTCACCATAATAATGGCTTTTGAAATTTTTTTTGTATTTTACAATATACCCTGAGCAACTCCAAAGATGGTTTTGCTGTGCTCTATAAGAAGAGTAAAAATCCTCAGAAGTGAAGGAAAAGGATAATTGTTGCTTTTGTTCAAATAATTTTCTCTAAATCGGTTGATAACACTTGCAAGGCAATGTGAATCATTCTGTTTAAAAATAAACAGAACTGGTGAAATTCCTGGATTATCATCTGTTTTCCTCTAAGAAAGAAGAGTTTACTCCCTCACAAGTCTCCTCACACTATTCCTGAAGCAGCAGTGCTTTGTTACTGCTCTCAGGGTGACAGATGGGCTTAGGGAAAATGTGTTAACCACGGAAAGACTTTCATTCTCCACCCTGTCCCATTCAGTGTTTATGTGTTCATTCAAGGAGAAATAATGGGACTTTGTGGAACCTTTGCCAACAATAAACAGGCATGGCACAGTTTTACTGTTACCAAGCTGTGGTAGATAACAGTATGGCACATAACTTTTTTTAGTATGTGGCCAAGACTTAAGGTAGGTGGAGTTTAATTCAGCAGAGATTGTTTATAGACCAGAGGAAACAGTTAATGGCTGTGATTAGGTGAGGAGGACTGGGTGCTTGAGGAGTTTTTTTGTGTGTGACAGGGGGGTTTCTGTAATGTTTTTTTCCACATCCAGGCATGTATTTTCATGAACTATGAAAACATCCATTTAGAGGGAAGCAGGGCCATCTGGTAGTGCTATATAAGATGGGATAAATTAGACAGGCTCAGAGCCCAAAGCATCAGAGAAGAGAACGATACTCCATGCCCTTACTCAGTAGGGGTGAACACAGCTGTTTTGTGGACTAAGGGGAGGCTGGAGTTGAGCAATGAAGAGTTCTCTGCCTTTACAGGATTCTCTTGCACAGCCCTTGGTGCTGTAGGTGATGGAAGGACAGCGAGGAGAGCGAGATGGAAGGGGCTCAGCCTTGCTGCTTGCCTCTTGCTTCTGTCATCTGCGTACCCATAAGCAAATGTGTCTATAGTTTGTGTGTGTTAATGGCATGGTCTGCTTTGCCACTGAGAAGCAGGGTCATGCTGACTGGGTTTCATACATGTAGCAACCAACTTCAGTGGTTTGAATTGGGCTGCCACAGCCCAACCTCTGAACGTTCACAGAGTGGCCAGAAAAAATGATCAGGAAACCGCTGATTTCAAAATGGCTTTATGTGGTGGGGTGGCTGCCAGGTGCCCACCACACCTCTTCACCATCACACTCATTCTCCCCCTCTCCCTCCTCAGCAGTACAAGAGGAGAAAACAGGATGGAAACCTCATGGGTTGAGGTCTGCATGTGGATGCACATCCTCCCACAGACTGGTCCGAATGGCGCTGCAGTGGCTTAGACACTGTCAGGCTTGCATTGACTCCATAAGCCAGGGTCAGTGTGTGGGTTACTATATTAACTATATGGGTTTACTATTTCCCTTAGGATAAACATAAGCATTAACAATATGGGGAAGTCAGATGCAGAGTGACAGTCCAGCCTTCATGTGGGCTGTTTAAAACATAATGTGGCTTTTGGTTCTCACTCTGTAGTGGGTCCTACACACCATTTCTTGATCTTGACAGGCATGTTGTATCATCAGGTCTCGCTTTCTCTGTAGTTTCCTTCTTGACATTCAGCTCAGGAAAGTTGCCCTTGGCCCATTTCATATTCCTTTAAACACCAAAGAACTAGTTTTGTAGTCAGTTGTTTCTGGCATGAAGATTGTTATCCCTCCCCATGTTTTATGTGATGGGCTGTTATGCCCAGCAGCTGGTACTCTCCCTGTAACTGTGACAGAAGAAAAAGGAGCAGCAGGACTTATTCCAGGGTATCACAGTGCAGAAACATCATCCTGGTAATTTTTCTGCTTTTGCAATTGTTAATTTGCTTGTCTCTGAAGAGACATGTGGGAGTCTCAGCATAATCTTGACATTGTGGCTTCAGACCCAAACCCAGAAGCAGATGTATCGTGTCTCCTTTGGTCTCTCGCTACCCAGCACCTCTCCTGCAGCCTTCAATTGTATTGGTACTCCAAGTGCTGAGACTGAAAATTATTTAAACAGAACAGTACCAAGTTTCTCTCCTTGCCTCAAAATAGCTGTTGGCAACCTGTGTCTTTTTGTACTGGGCTTTTAGACATTCCCCCCCCAGTCCTATTTTTCCTGAGCAAATGGTCTCATATGGGACTAGCTGTTTGGAAGAAGAGGCATTCCAAATCAAAGTTTATATGAACTCTATGTCTTCATCAGCTAAATGTGCATTTGTGACACCTGTGGATAAATTTTCAGCATGCTTGTTTGATGACTTCTCTTGGGGCTTGCAGAAAAATGGCTTGGAAATGGAACATTTGCAAAGAAGCGGATGCTGGCAAGAGAAAGCATTACAATGAAATGTAAAATATGTGCACTGTAATTTATACAGGCAACTAGCTTCTGGAAAACTTGACCTCTGGCCAGCAGAGGACAGAAACATATCCAAAGAGACCACTGAAGCAGTGACTGGTACCCGGTGGGATAGAGATGGAGGGACTAATTATATTTTCACAGCTGTTACACCAGTG